GAGAGAGAGAGAGAGAGAGATAGGGGGAGAGGGAGAGAGAGAGACAGAGAGACAGAGAGACAGAGAGAGAGAGAGAGAGACAGTACGGAGAGAGACAATACGGCGACAAACACTCTGCACTACAGTATGAACATAGTACGAGCAGCCACTGGTGATGTACAGTCCTAGACTAGAGTGATAGGATGTACAACCTAGCGATGTTATCACCAATAGGAACAGCCGGACCTACTTTGCTATGGTGTGTTTGTTCATGTGTTACCCCCATGTATGTCTTGCTCAGATAAGGGCGAATCGTCATACGGCGACCCATTCCAACACAGTACCTTCATCAAGGACATTTTACCTTGGTTGCGAAAACTACCAGCGACGACATTTCGAAACAAGGCGCAAGATGCCGGGTTCTTCACCGATCTGCAGCAGATACGTGCCTTGACGAGGACTGAGAGGCAACATGGAACGCCCAGTCACAACGAAGAATTGATCGAAATCGTGAGCAGCGAGGAACAGGCTGGCTTCATCAAGCTGGTCAAAGTCATCAAGCACTGGGGGAAATATCCCGACAAGGTCGACAAGATGAACCAGCTTCTGCCGCGGCGGGCCCGTGTGTAAACGGTAGGTTGCGTGCCGTATTTCCCCGGAGTACTGTACAAGCCGCGTCCTCTATTTTTGTCCTAAAACATAGGCAAGTATATACCATGTATTCGGTGTATATGCCGCACTCGTATTTTCACATTATTGAAATAGGTGGGTGTAGCGCGTGTGTGTGTGTCTGTGTGTGTGAGAATGTTTCTGTGTGTGTGTGTGTGTGTGTGTGTGTGTGTTTGTGTGTGTGTGTGTGTGTGTGTGTGTGTGTGTGTGTGTGTGTGTGTGTGTGTATGTGTGTGTGGGGGTGCTTCAATCAGCTGTGTGGTGGATACCAGGCTAAAAATTAGTGGCGGTCAATTCATCAGCCTTGCAAGCTGTTGAATGGTGTAATCCCAGCACAAGTTGCTATGTCTAACATAGCTGTTCGCTATCATCCCTTCCGCGATGGGCATGTCTGAGGTCTGAGGTGTGTGTGTGTGTGCGTGTGTGTGTGGGGGGGGGGGGGGGGTAGTGAGTGTGTGCTCGCATTAAGACCACCCTTCCTCGGGATTGACGTGTGGCTTTGAAAAGCAGCGGTTTGAATGAGTTACGTGACCCATAGCCTTGGTTTTTTTCCGGCATTCTGATAGCCGCCATTGACCTACTCGTCACCACCACTCTGATAGTCACCATCACCATGCCTGTCATCGTCGTTAACTTCGCCCCGGTCAATTTGCACCGGCTTTTTAAGGGGGGGGGGAAGTTGAGTGTTCAAGGGGCGGCAGCTTCTCCTTCGAAAGAAATCGGCATTTGGCACAAACGGACACCCGATGTATTGAATGTCATCCATTATGAAACCATTCAATTCTCATCCTTGAAAAATATTTTCTGACATGTGTCGTGACTGAAGGCACAGAAATTACCAATTTCATTGCACCTCATCATGGAAAGCCACTTTTACGGGCAAAGAATGGAACCAATTGAAGGAAGCAACTCAAGAAGTTACAAGAACACAAGCAAATAAGAACTCAAGAGAGTTGAATGCAACGCATCACCATCATCATCATCAGCCTTTTCGCGCCTAGCCTTCACTTGGGCCACACCCAATGTTAGACATGATACCAGAAGACAAAGGAAGAAAAGAGAAGAAGAGAACAAAGAAGACGAAGGGCACAAATATATGAATAACCACTGCATTGCACCAAGTAGGGCCTAACCGAGGCGATCAAAGCATACTTCATTCCCATACTCACCAGGCTCGTCGCACCGACTTTGGAGGTGGGGCGGCCATGGAAGGGGGTCCGGGGGTCGTCCCGCGGGGAAATTTTCAAAATTGAAGCCAATTGCAAGCATTTCCGGGCATTTGGTGCCATTTCAGTGTATGGTAACTACAATGAAAGACTTTTTGATTCTCAACAAACCAAGGAGGCGCCACGATCGCGGACAAACATTACCCTCCCCCGGGAAAAATATTCAAAAATTGAAGCCAATTGCAAGCATTTCCAGGCATTTGGTGCCACATTGCGGTGTAACTGCAATGAAAGACTTTTGATTCTGCAAGAAACTACGATCGGGGACAGGATTTTCCACGTTTGCGCTGAGCTGCGATCAACGCGCTTTGTTGTAGTGTGCTCCAAAAAAAAAACAGCCGAAAAAGTGAGGCGGCCTCAGCCGCCCTGGCTGGGACGGCCTTGCCCACTCAGCGGCCTTTGGCTATCCCAACAAGCAAGCAAATGTTGGACTTGTCTTCTCGGTCAAGCCCACTGCTCAGCAGCGCTTTGATTTACCAGTTTAGCTCTTTGTTTGTTTTTACTCAAAAAGGTTGAGTCGTGCTTCCAAGTACACATACGATAGCAATATTGAAGTGTGTGTTCAGGTCACAAATCCAATGACAACAGTCCTGTTCATGTTCCATCAGCCAATCACAGCCCGGCGCGAAAATGTTCTATAAGTTCATTATGAGTTTCCAAGCGTGGGTGCACGTCAGAAATGTAATCAAAACGCACGTACTCTTGTTCAATCAGCCTACGTCACAGCCCTTCATGCCTTCGAGGCGGCCTGTGATTAGGCTATCTCACCTTCGTATTCTTGCTTGATTCCATAATTCACTGATACCGTCAGACCTCGCTTATCCGGATCCCTCGCCATCCCGAAGAACATAGCTGATTACATATTTACAGCATACTAGGTGCATCCAACATAACCAGTGTTAGGTTTTCCGGTTCCTTCGCCTATTCGGATATTTTTTTGTTGAAAACAGATATGTGCGGTTAAGCAAGGTCTGACTGTATGCTCGTTTTCCTCAGCCTGGAAAGATGCTCTAAGTCAAGCGTGCAGCAATTAAAGGGGAAATCCGGTGAAAAATTTAAATTTCAGGGTCGGTAGAGTTTCGGGCACTGAGTCGAATGGTGTTGGTCTCACGTGTCTCCGACAAAGCGTTCTCAAGATATTTCCGTTTGAAAAACTGAGTTTCGGGGGCTGCGCCATGACGTCATGCGGCCGCACCACACCCTCCGCAACGTCATAGCGTGCAACTATGTCAAAAGGAGTGCCTGAAAGCAATAGTGTCAGTGCTATTTCAAATGATTTGGCGACCGATAGTAGGTGGTGCAAGTGACTCCGAAGACGTAACTCCATGTGAGAGTGAGGATGCAGCTATGGCTGACCTTCATGAGTTCGGTCTGGGGCTGAGAATTTCAGTATTCTGCAGAATAAATGGCCGCGCTCGCCGATCAAGAGTGAGCGCTACTGCATGAGTTTCCGACTGATGAAGAAGCAGCAGCAGACAGACGAAGCTGATATAATTATCAGATCGCTGGAGAGCAGAGTCGCCAAAATGGAGAAGAGTGATGCGAGTGCTCTAAATTTTGTTCCATACCGATTCGCTTAGACTCCAGTAGCCTGCCACATGGTGATGTTTCGGTGCGAACTTGGCATATTTTGAACTACTCAATTGGTGACGTGAACCACGGGCACGACTCTTCGCTGGCAACGCTACGTAACGGGATCTGAAAGTTCTAGGTCCAGGAACTGTTCTCTGTTTTGTCACTTGTCACGGTTGTGCACTCATCGCTGTAGCATAAAATAATAAGGCAGGACTGGAGCGGAAAACTAAAATTTTCTTTCTCAAAGCACAAGCACTGGCAAGGAGAAACGCACGTTCTCTGACAACATGAGTGTACATACGACTGATACGAGTGTAATGAAGTTGGTTGCTCCAACGAGGAGCACACGCTTCTTGCCGAACTTGACACTTGACTGACTCACGACTGCCATCCGGAGCACACCAGGAGCACGTCGCACCTTCCGCTCGGCAAACCTGAAAGAAAGCACCACTCCCTGCTCAATACACAGTGTTTCGGGGAATTCACCCCTCATCAGTTGAGCTTGAGTAGGCTGAGGAAGATTGTGCCTGAAAAGCACCACTTATATACTGAGTCAGTCAAGTGTCAAGTTTTTGCAAGAAGCGTGTGCTCCTCGTTGGAGCAACCAACTTCATGACATCACCGCCGAAGTCGCAACTTCTAAGTTTGATACGAGTGCAGTAAATGAAAAGTCCGTGTGTAGACTAGTTCTTCTGAGTCTTGTGACTCGAGTCTTGTTGTAGCTACCCCAGCATGCAGGGCAGTGTGATGAGTTTGTTGACTACACTACAGCTAGCATGCACGCAGCGCATTGCTAGAGCCGTAGAGCTAGAGGCCAGTGCATGCGGACGGGAAAAGTACTACAACTCGGAAACGGCTAAAATATGGTTTACCCTCAAGGTTAACCGAGCTGAAAATCACAGGGTACGTAGTGTTTGCAACACTGAATCGAATGGTCTTGGTCCGAAGAAGCTGCGAAAAACGGTTCCCCAATCGAACGCGCTCCGAATATAGCCATTTTGTACACAACTAGATGGTGTGGCTACCTGGCTGCCCGCTGTGAGGTCATCACCTGGATCTGGGTGATGCGCGCTCAAATTCGCACATGTTCGATTGGGCGTATCTGACGAACCACAGGCCGCAGCCTCCTCGGACAAAGACCATTCGACTCAGCGCCCCGAACTTTACGGACTTGTGAAATTTAAATTTTTCACCGGACTTCCCCTTTAACTTATTTGATGGCATCATGTTCTCTTTCCGGTCTGTGCATACATGCTTGTGCGTGTCGGTGCAATTGCGTACATGTGTGTTGATGCAGGTGTGTGTGACGGTGTGTGTGTGTGTGTGTTTGTGTGTGTGTGTGTGTGTGTGTGTGTGTGTGTGTGTGTGTGTGTGTGTGTGTGTGTGTGTCCCATATGGTGCAGTGGTATGTGCAGCGATTTCCAATCGAGAGGTTGCGGGTTCGATTCCCGACGATTATAGTCACACATGTCTTTCTTCTCTTTCTCAGACTTCTCCTGACTTTTCTTTCATTCTCCTGGGCGGTTACCAACAGCCAGTGCATGCCGAAGTATGTGGGGTGAGGTGTGTGCGGGGAAAAAATAAAAAAAGACCAAAAAGTAGGGATTCACTGGCCAGAAAAAGCCACTTCATAGCTGTGTGGTGTAGACCAGGCTGAATAGTGGCGGTCAATTCTTCAGCCTTGCAAGTTGTGGATTGGTGCAATCCCAGCACAAGCTGCTATGGCTTCTGCTGTAGCATCACTATCATCGCCTTCGGCGATGGGCGATGATAGTAGTGGGTGTCCAATGGTGTGTGTGTGTGTGTATGTGACCAGGCTGAATAGTGTGGCGGTCAATTCTTCAACCTGGCAAGCTGTTGAATGGTGCAATCCCAGCACAAGTTGCTATGGCTTCTGCTGTAGCATCACTATCATCGCCTCTGGCGATGGGCGCCAAATGGTTAACGGTGTGTGTGTGTGCGCTCGCACGCGCATGCGTGTGTATGTGTTTGTGTGCGCGCGCATGTGTATGTATGTGTGCGCACGTCAATGCAGCCAAGCAATGTTGGGCTCCGGTGTACACCATTATGTGATCGTGTTCGTGGCAATGTGGTATTCTCTATTTGCTCCATCATAGATTGTCAGTTGCTGAATCTGCTGTAAAAACATCCCTTCACCCAGTTTCTACTACCTAGTTGCCCGACGGTCACATACTCCACAGCAACTCTGTCAAGAACATCACGCAATGTATTGGTCGCTCTTTGTCTCTGTCTCTCTGTGTCTCTGTCTCTCCGTCTCTCTCTCTCTCTCTCTCTCTCTCTCTCTCTCTCTCTCTCTCTCTCTCTCTCTCTCTCTATCTATCTATCTCTCTCTCTCTCTCTCTCTCTCTCTCTCTCTCTCTCTCTCTCTCTCTTTTGCATTGTGCGTTCTCCATCTCACTGACCAGTGATCATGCTTCTCACCAAATCCACTCTTCCTTAATAGTATCTGCTCTTCCTTATAGCAATGTTATGTTATGTTTGTTCGTTACCCTACTATATTATGTGTAAATGAAAAATACTAATGATCGAGTAGTCGAGTAGTCGAGTAGGCTAAACAGTAGAGACAGCTACTTGTAGAGGACCACACCAGGTTACTATGCCCGTTACGGAATGCCTACCTATAGCCATGGGGTTACGTGAAACCTCTTTCTTTTGCTAGCATTTTATGAATGCATGGAATGGAATATTTTCACGAGGGTGTGGGGCTTAGAATATTTTACTGATATAATTATTTCGGTGAAATTAGTTTTTGAAATTTCAGTTGCTTGTAGATCTTCAGTTACTAGTTCCTGTCTTTTTATCTTTTATTTCATGGAGAAGGCGGAGAGCCCGAACGTGCCGGAGTTGTTACCGATTTTGCGGAATTTTTTTATTACAAAGCATATAAGTTTAGGCTTTCTGATAATGATATGCATTTTTTTTATATTCAATGTAACGGGGCCAAGATCTGAGTGCCATTGGTGGTAGGTCGCATGCTGGAATTACACTAAAACTAAAACTATCCTTTTCGTGTCAATAATTTTGGCCTGGGACATACAGTTTCTCGTCTGCAAATTCAACAAAAGTCTTTGGGGTGCATGTTTCGTTTACACGTTTACCTTATGCGGCGCACCAAGCGTTTGACTTTTTTCCGCTTTTCTCCGCTCCCCTGTAAGTTGTAAGCTGATAATAATGATGCGGGGGAGTTTTGCTGCGTTTTCGATGTTGCGAAATTTTTGGCAATGTTGAACTCCCAGTACATGTACAAATGTACATGTAAGTGCAATGCAGTACCGTAGTGCTGAACATAGCAGGCTGGGCATACATGTACATGTACATGTAAAGGGTTCTAGCCAGGTTAATTAATAGTAGGGGGGAGGGGGAGGGGGAGGGGGGGGCATGGGAAATACACTGTAGTTACCCTGTAACCCATTTTTGCCATGCAGCATGCAACGTACAGGGTGAACCCCCGACTTCACCCCTGACAAATGTGCCTTTATGAACCCTCTAGTAGTAGTACATGTAGTGACTTTCGACTGCATTTTCATTGAATGGCATGAAAAAAACACAAAAAATCGACAAATGAGTAGAGGGGCGGCACTTTTTCACAGGGGGCACGCCCCCCCCCCCCTTTTGGCTAGAACATTGCATGTGCATGGGCATTTTTTATATGACACGGTGCCGGTAGTCACCTACATGTACAATCTACTCGTAGCCCTTGCCTTGGCGGGTAGTGAGGTTTTGCATTCCGAATTTCGGCAAAATATTCGGTAAGCTGGAGCGAGGTCGAAAATGCACCCGAAAATTCGGCACGCTTGTTCGGCAACACAATCTGCGTAGAAACTGTGCCGTCGTCCCTTCACGCATGATCCTAATTAGACCGCGGAAGTCGTCAGTGGAGTACTACGGTGGGTGCAGAATACTGAGCAGTCACGCTATGGAGGTGGAGCGACGAGGACACAAGATAACACAAAGGGCCTTGGATGCTGTTGACATGGAGGAGGAGTTGGAAATTGGCGGAGTTCGTGAAGTCGAGAACGAGGGGGATGCAGATGTTGACGCCGATGGTGATGAGTGTTAATGTGATTTGGAATTTGATGAGAAAAAAATCTGTTTATATGTAGTAGGCATTTGTTAACCAACCCTGATTGTGGTCTGCCGTATTCTGATTCCTGTTTTACTGCACTGTGCCGTGCTACGCATGCCCACGTACAGCCCTAGGCCCACAGCTGGGAGGCCACAGCGACGATGATCCTGATTCTGGCGGGTGGGAAGTCAACCGATCCAAGCGTTCACGCCACAGCGTCACACCTGACCGGGACCAGAGTGCCACCACCACTGGATCCAAGCAACGGAAAAAACGGAAACGAAAATCTCCTGAGAGTGGCCAACAGGTCCTGCACTAAGTCACTTCAGAAACTTACCGCTTTGATACACATTATTTTACCTTTCGTTTTTGCACCCATGCCTAGTTCTGCCATTCATCACAATACTATTAAATGTTCACTTAGACTACTTTGCACCAATGCATTTAGCTTAGGTAACAAGCTACCTGAGTTCCAGCACACACTGCTCCAGCATAATCCCGACATAGCAGTAGTGACGGAAACAAAGTTTGCCCCTGACACTGTTCCACCATCTGACTCCACTTTCCCTGGCTACACCACCTTCCGGCTGGATCGAACAGCACGTGGTGGTGAAGTGGCCGTATGGATCAGATCTACATTCCCAGCCATGGTAATTGATGAGTTATTTTCTCCACAGCACGAACTCATTTGGCTGTCCATTCAATTGTCCCCAGGACAAAAGATAGTTTTGGGCGCTGCTTACAGTCCAGGTTCGACGGGGCCCAGTGACCTTACGCTCATTAACCATCTTGACGACATCCTTCCCTCTGCTCGTGCGCTTGGTGCCAACCTCATACTCGCCGGTGATTTCAACGTGCATAACCGCAATTGGCTCCATAGCTCGAAGACCACACCTGCGGGGGAAGCCCTCGAAGACACATGCACAGCCCACTTTCTTACGCAGCATGTTCAGTGTCCTACTCGCGGGGATAACACACTCGACCTGGTGATGTCCACGTTGAACTCTCCAGTGACCATGCAGATAATGCCCCCTATTGGTCGATCAGACCACGCTGTAATTCTTTCGGACTTCACAGGTGTTCTTCCCTCCCATGAACCGGCGGTGCAACGAACTGTCTGGCGCTATGAAAAGGCAGACTGGAACGGCCTCCGATCCTTTTTCCACCAGGTTGATTGGTTAACCGTCATTACTGCCAACCCAGAAACTTCGTGTCAGCAGGTTACTGACACAATCACGAAAGCCGTTTCCCGGTTCGTTCCGTCCAAGACACTGACAGTGAAGTCAACGGATCCGAAATGGTGGACACCTGAGTGTGCAGCCGCAATGAAGGAGAAGGACAAACGCTGGCGCACTTGGAGGAAACACCCTCACGACTTTGCTCTGAAACATGAGTTTACCCGTTCTGTAAACAATGCTATCGCAGTCCTCGCTAGATCTAGAGTTTCCAAAGAGAACAGCCTCAGACATAGCTTGTCGAATGGGTCCCTGAAGAAGAAGGAATGGTGGACGAAGCTAAAGTGCGCTTGTGGCGGGGGTCGGAACACTGACATTCCCCTGCTTGTTGATAGTGAAGGTTGCGAGAGGGCCACAAGCTATGAGAAATCGGAGGCTTTCGCACGGTTCTTTTCGAAGAAAGGCAGTGTACCAGGCCGCGACCTTACTTCGATGGATTTACCGGACACGGCATTCGTTGGTGCACCTGCACTAACGACAGTCCACTTTCGCCCCGATGCAGTCCACCGGCTTTTAGCTAGCCTGGATGCCTCAAAGGCGACTGGACCCGACAGTATTTCCGCTCGTGTCTTGAAGGAATGCGCCAGAGAACTTGCCAAGCCACTGTGTCAGCTCTTTGCCCTTTGCTTCCAGCACGGAGTCGAGCCACAAATGTGGAAGACTGCCAACGTGGTTACAATCCACAAGCGATCTTCGCGATCCGCCTTGAAGAATTATCGTCCAGTTTCACTGCTGAGCATAAGCTCTAAGATCATGGAGAGCGTTATCAATCGTCAACTCATGAATCACCTTGAGCGTTACAAACTCCTGACACCCCACCAGTTCGGGTTTCGTCGCCGCCTCGGGACCTCAGATGCGCTACAGACTCTACACCATGCCTGGATCACAGCCGTCGGCCGAGGCGGTGCAGCACGTATTCTAGCCGTGGATATTGCCGGAGCATTCGACCGTGTGTCCCATACTGGCCTCCTGCACAAAGTCCGCTATCTTGGCATTGGCGGTCCCCTGCATACCAGGCTCTCTTCCTACCTAGGTGGACGGTCCATTCAATGCTTAGTGGGCGGCCAAACCTCATCGTTGTACACCATATCAGCAGGAGTTCCCCAAGGGAGCATACTCGGACCCACACTCTTCCTGATTTACGTGAATGACGCTTTAGAGGCCCTCTCACCCGGAGCCCACCTGGAGGCGTACGCCGACGATACTACCTTGTATAGCCTGATATCCCTCGACACATCCCCAGCCGACGCAGCATCGAACCTCCAGACTTCTGTTGATCGCTTGCATCAGTGGGGCCGCAGGTGGCGCAGCTCCTTCGAACCGTCGAAGTCCCAAGCCATGACCGCCACTCTCCGCAGAACCCCCATCAATTTGCCTCGCATTGTCTTCGGCGGCACTCCTGTCCTTGAGGAGAAGGCTCTCTCTTTACTTGGAGTGACCTTTGACTCGAAGCTGTCATTCAGCACTGATCTCCGGAAGGTTGCCGCTCGAGCCAAGCAACGCCTGGGCTTCCTGCGCCGTGCATCGCACATTCTCTCTCTGCGCAAGTTGTCGGCAGCGAACAGACGTTCTATGAAGAGCAAAGTGCTTGATTTCCTTGCGGCGGCACCGGCAGAACTCTCCTATTCTGGCCAATTGGCCTTCCAGCCGGGAGCATCCAGTTGGCTGACTTGCCGGCCGATGAAGCTCCACGGATTCGCTTTGACCAAGGGTGAGTTCCGGGACGGCATTGCCCTTCGGTATGGCTGGCCATTGACTGGTCTTCCCAGTAGCTGTGCCTGTGGGGCCAGTTTCGATCTCTGTCACGCATTATCTTGCCCAAAGGGTGGCTTTCCAACATTACGCCACAATGAGGTACGTGACGTCACCGCCAGCATGCTCCGGAGAGTGGCCAATACCGTTGCAGTGGAGCCTCATCTTCAGCCGGTCACTGGTGAGCGGTTTCGCCATCGGACGGCAATATCAACTGACCAGGCACGGCTTGACATTGTGGCAGGCGGGGTGTGGGGCGGACGGTTTGAACGCTCCTTTTTTGAGGTAAGGGTATTCAACCCATATGCAGCTTCGAACCGGTCGGCCCACATCCAATCTGCATTCAACAAGCACGAAGCTGAGAAGCGATGCCATTATGCTGAACGAGTACGAGAAGTGGAGATGTCGGGTTTCACTCCACTTGTCCTGGCAACAACTGGTGGTATGGGACGTGCTGCTACTGCATTTTATCGGCGGCTGGCTGTCCTTATGGAGGAGCGTGGATCAGTTGGGTATCATACCCATATCTCGCTTATCCGGAGCCGGCTGGCCTTTGTTTTACTGCGTGCTAACATCATGTGTCTGCGGGGGGCTCGCTCACCATTTCCCTGGCATAGGGGGATGGATGACGCCTCTCCAGATGTTCCTGTTGCCGAAGCCCGCCTTGTTGGCAACTAGCTAACACGGGTAACGGATACTGACTGATCAACAGAGACTATCTCAAAAATCGTTGTCATTGTGTGCAGATTGTAAAGTTTCATTTTCTCTTTATTTACATTTTTTGTGTTGTTTTGCTTTGCAGTTGTTGCCGCGGTCAGGCCACTGAAATCATGTTCCGTGATTGCCCGTATACGAGGCTTAAAAAAAACATTCTCTC